CCCAGTGCTGCAATAATGTAAATTGGCTGCTCAATAACTGTTCCCTGGTCTATAGTGGACTGATATGGCCTGTTGTGCTGGGCCCCAGTGCCATAGTCACACAAGCTGGCCCCTCAATAAGTATCCCCTGGTCCATACCGCACCGATACTGCCAAATGCTGTAGTAACACTAAGTGGCCTCTCAGTCCCTATTTCCTGGTTCATACTGCTCTGATGTGGCCTGTCCGCTCCTGCCAGCTGCCAGAAGTATAGTGATCCAGGCTAGCAGTGGTGCTGGAACTAGAGGTGCTGCAACCCCTGGCTTGAAGTAGTAATACCATACACCAAATACTTGGTTCCATCATCAGCACCCCCACTATAAAAATTGTTCCAGCACCCCAGCAGGCTGGCTCCTTGATAACCATCCCCTGGTCTATACTGCACCAAGAGAAACCATCCTGCCCAGCACCAATGCTACTGTAACATAGCGCTAGCTTTTAAAGTAATTTTTCTTTTTTTGCATTCAGTTTAAAAAATAAAAGTGTGTTCTGGCCCCAGAGCAGTGTCGCCTTTTTCTGCTGAGCTCTGCTAAGACCCCTGGCAGCAGATCACCTTAAGGGTCTCCAGGGAGCAGAAGATACTTCCAAGAAGGCTGCTGTTGAAAAGCATCTGGTTATATTACAAATTTACAAGCCCTCATGCAGAGAGCAGTACTAGGGTTGCCAGCCCTCAGGATTGTTCTGAAGTCTCCAGGAATTAAAGATTAATCTTTAATTAAAGAACATATCATGTGATGAAACCTCCCAGAATATGCCCAACCAAAATTAGCAACCCTAAATAGTACATTGTGCATGAGTTCTTGTACCATGAATAATATATGGATGGGAGATGACCCTCTACAGTAAGTTTTCCTGTGTTTTCTTATTTTCATACACATGCACCCTATTTGCTTGGTTGTTAGGCTCTTGCTGTACTTCTTAGTCTGTGTCTGTATTGACTGTTCTAATACTCCTTCCAGATCAGCTGGCTTTGTTGTGACTCTATGGTAAATGTAGGTCTGGTGTCTGTGCTGTAATCTCTTCTGTCAATTTACAGTGGTCTCTAAGGCTATTGGTCTGGGGCCTTTCACCAGAATTTAATTCACTTTTAAAAAGTTAGAAAAGAAAGTAGAACTCTAATAATATCCTCCAACACATACACTCTGCATAAGTAATTAATTAATAGGTATTTCTATGGAACTCTTCCCCATAATATTTCAGCACCTATGTATTTCAAATTAGAATATATTTTAAAAGTGCCTATCCAGAGCTCTAGCTCTTTGCCAAAAATTAGAATACAGTCATACAAAACAGACCACCTCCACATCTTACTGCCAAGACAAAAAAATTTCCAGCTGCAAGAAATCAAATCCAACCAATAGCCTCTTCTCCCCAAACATCAGTCCTCATTATTGTGACTCTCTCCCCCCAGAACTTTGGCTATATAGATCGACCTCATAGTGTGCCCTACAGGTCAACACCCAAGTTATACTCATAGTTTATTTTCTCTAATATCTCTCACGACTTTCGCCAACTTGATTATATTAGACAAGTTAAGAGTTGCATAAAGTAGCATGGTCTAATGCAGTGGTCTCCAAAGTGGGCTGCGCAAGACCATCCCTGGGGGTGTGCGGCAGGAGGAGCGCCGCTGGCATGCCACCGGCAGCTCTTCTACTTTTGGTTCTGCGGCGGCAGGAGGCGAGCGCCTGCAGCAGCTCTTCTACATAGCAGCTCCTCCCTTCTTTTTTCTTCGGCGGCACGCCTGCGTCAATTTTTTTTTTCCTGGGGGTACGCGATCAAAAAAGTTTGGAGACCACTGGTCTAATGGATTAAATATTAGACTGGAAACCAGGAACTCCCGACTTCAAAGTGGCTAGGGCTGCCAGATGTCCGTTTTTTTATCGGAATACCCAGTGGAAAAGGGACCCTGGCGCTCCGGTCAGCACTGCTGACAGGGCAGGTAAAAGTCTGGTTGGCGTGAGGCTGAAGGTTCCCTACCCAGCTCCATGCAGGTCCTGGGAAGTGGCTGGCATGTCCCTTCGGCTCCTAGGCCTAGTGGCGGCACTCCACACACTGCCCCTGCCCCGAGCACAAGCTCCACAGCTCCCATTGGCTGGGAACCACAGCCAATGGGAGCTGTGGGAGCAGCGCCTGTGGGCAGGGGCAGCGCTCAGAGCTGCCTGGCCATGCCTCTGCCTAGGAGCTGGAGAGACATGCCAGCCGCTTCCCAGGAGCCGCCTGAGGTAAGTGCTGCCTGGAGCCCCCCACTGCGAACCCTCTCCTGCACTCCAAACTCCTTTGTCCCAGCCCCAAGCCCCCTCCTGGACCCCAAATGCCTCATCTCTGGCACCATCCCAGAGCATGCACCTCCAGCCAGAGCCCTCACCCCCTCCCTCGCCCCCTCCCACACCCTGAACCCCTCATTTTGGCTCCACCCTGGAGCCCGCACCCCCAGCTGGAGCCCATACTCCAACCTCCTGCTCCAGCCCAGTGAAAATGAACAACTGAGGATGGGGCAGAGTGAGCAACGGAGGGAGGAGGAATGGAGTGAGCAGGGGCAGGGCAGGGCAAGGGTGTTTGGTTTTGTGCGATTAGAAAGTTAGCAACCCTAAAAGTGGCTCTGATATTGACTCATTATGGAACCTTAATCAAGTCACGTATCCCCACTATGGACCTAATCCAAACCCCATTAAATCAGTGGCAGTCTTTCCATTTACTTCACTAGATTTTGGATCAGGCCTTATTAGGGTTGCCAGTTTTTGTTGGACATATTCCTGGAGGTTTCATCACATGACATAATCTTTAATTAAAGATTATTCTTTAATGCCTGGAGACTCCAGGGCAACCCTGGAGGGTTGGCAACCTTGCCGCCTTAGGTCTATAAAAGGGGTAATACAGACCTACTTAGCAAGGTTATTGTGAGGATTAATTAGTCACAGTTTGTATAGCACTTATTCAATGTAAGGTGTTAAGTTACATAATTAAAACTATTTGATTCAGCTCTGGCTTAGGACAACAATCTTTTAAAAGTCTTTTATCCCATCACTTGTGTAAGTGACAATGAGTCATGTACACAACTAAATTATGATTGACATCGAGATAGACATTTTTCGTTAAAAATTCACTGAAAAATGGTTTCCAAATGAATTTGCCCATCACTGAAGTGAAGACATTGCTTGGGTGGAAGGAGGCAATTTTTTAATAGCACAGGACTGAATGTGTGGAGTAGCTAATGGAATTGCAGAGGGATTTTAGAGGGGCAGAATGTAAATTGCTCATCTGATCTTCATGGATAAAGTTTAGGCCTTTAAAAGGTCAAAATCAACACCTTAAATGATTTGGGTTCAAGCTTACCGGAAGGATTACCTCTCTTGGTGCAATACCACAGTGGCTGTGATCTTTTGAGACACAAGCCCTCCCCTGACACTAATAGAAGGGGCTTATAGCACGGCCTTCTCCGTGTCTATCTGAATTCAGATTTGGTGATTTTATGGGCAAAATCAAAGACTTACCTGTTTCCCCATGCTTGTCCTTGGACAGAAGGATGAGTTGGAAATGGGAAAGATGTTGGGGTAGAGTATGTTGTTTGAGGTTTGTGCACATTTGTGTGCATGTTCTGTTTAACATTTTTGAATTAATGGTGCAATTATAATTATTTTATACTTACAGAAACCTGATCAGTGGAACATGAAACAAGTGTGAATGAATAAATATTGGAATTTGGTCAGCTATCAAAAGATTAACATTCCTACTTTTCAAACCTTAAAAATGAGCCAATTTCAAATAATTGGTGTTTTCCCAGGCTTGGTAAATGTATCCAGTAGGGTTTTGAGAGGTGGGGTAGATTGAAACTTTAGTTTGAAGCTGGTCCCTCTTTCTCAGGAGGCCCTCCACAATTTTTATTCCCCACAAGACCTGCCTTCTGACTGCTATTTGACCAGGATCTGGCAATTAGCAGACAGGTCACCTAGGGGTACACTACCACATGATCAGAGAGGGAACCAGAGCTGGCAACAGCAGATAGACAGTAGGACTGTCAGGTAGGAAGAAGGAGGGGACCTGCAGTGGAAAAGGGATGACCAAAGGTTGTCAACACCTCTGTTTTATGTCCCACCTGAAAGACAGCATCTTCTGCAAGTGCTTGTTTATAATAAGATCACAATGTGAAGTGATATAGCCTGCAACTGTAATAGCTGCTAGCCAGGTTTCAGTCAGTGAAAGGGGAGGGGGAAAAGAGAATCCTTTGCATAATTGTTGCTGTAGCGATACTGGTTATGGTGCTGTCTTTATCACCTCACTGCATGTGTCAGATCTGGTGAATAATAGCTGGTGTTGACTTGGTTGTTAGCTATGCTGTGTTGTGCAATTAGATGCTTGCAGTCTCTTTTAGCTCTGCTCTGCATAATTAAAAGCCAGTCTGGTGTTATCATCAGGAATTTAACTTCTTGGTTTTAAAATATACTGATTTTTCTAATCCAAGGTGAAGTTCTCAGCCAGGAACTGTGAATGGATTCATGATGGGCCAGGCCCTCATGAATGGTGAAAGTCAGCACAGCTCCACTGAAGTCAGTTGAGCTGCGCCAATTGACACCAGCTGAGGCTCAGGCCCAGGAAACGTGGAGGGGCTTTGGCTCACCAACTATTTCCTTTAATGTCAGAGACATTTTATAATTAACAGACCTCGCTCTTCCAGAGAGCTTTTCATCCATAGATCTCACAGTGCTTCATGCAGATGGGTAAGTGTAGTTATCTCCATGGCACAGACAGGTTAAGAGACTTTCCTAAGGTCACACAGTGAATTGGTGTCAGAGCTGGGAACAGAGCCCCGATCTGCTAACTCCCCATTCTGTGCCTCATCATGTCAGTTTTCTGAGCGTGCAGCCATGCAGCCAGCCCCTCCCAAAGCATTAACAACAAGTGAAAGGTACCTCCTTCCTCCCCCAGACCAGAAAAGGCACTAACCCCAGGAAACACACAGCAGAGTCTTCTTACTTTGAGGTTTATTGTTAGTCTATAAATTATACAGACAGGACACAAGGACAACACTGTATTTTCAACAACTGATCTGAAGTCATGATTGGGAAAATATGCTATAATGGGCTAATAGTGTCATATAAAAACAGTCTACAATCCAAGTGGAGCCTCATCACTCCACAGAAGCAATCGCTGCTGCATCAGCCAGCTGTACAAAACACGGAGTGAACAAAGCACCAGTAAGGCTTTTTCCCAGGCAGCAGGGAAGCTACCAGGCCTGTGCTTTACATCTGGGGCTCTTTGCAGGAACTGTTTGAAGCAGTGCCACGTCCCAGCAGGGCCTTTCAGGACCTTTCTGATTCTGCCTCAGCTTTTTGGTTGAGTTCAGTCTGCGGGTTCAGAAATGCTCTCAGCGCAGATCAGAGAGAATTCACACGAAGGCTTCAGAGTGCTCTGAATCCACTGGAAAAGCGTTAGTGGCACAGCCAAGATCAGAGTGTCCGGGTTGAGGGCTGGATGGACGGCATTAGGTGTGTTAGTTTGGGGAGGGAGCGGCAGGAGGGCAGGGCCCTTCTGTTCACATGGCAAACAAGCCCACAGCAACCGTTGTCACTAGGAAGCTGAGGACAAGAATCCACCGTGCCAGTGGAGTGCTAGGCAGCATGTCTGTGTGCTTCATCAATGTCTTTTCACCTTCTTTCACAGGAGCTGGTCCTAAATCAACAGAAATCAAATTTTTAAGAGCAGGAATCAGGCTAGGAAGGGTTTGTTTCTATGTTAGTTTTATATCAATCTCCAAAGATGCACTGATGTTATCCCCTAGCACGCTAAACTGTGGCCAAAGTGAGCAACTGCACAGGATAATGGTGGAGGGGTACACCAGATGTACACCACAAGTGGGTGGGCTAGTGAGACTCAAGGTCAGTAGTCAAGTACCTTCAACCAGTTCAGAAGGGTAGGGTTTGTGGTGTAAATCTTCACATCCCTCCCAGGCATGTAGTACAGTCTAATAACCCTCACTGCCCTGCAAGTGCACTTAATTGGTTTCCTCCATGCCAGATGTGCAGGGTAGCCTCTCACTGCTGTAACTTAATGTGTTTTGGTTCCTTTTGCTTTTTGTAAATCTCAAATTTAGTACGATGCCAGGCTCCTTCTGCTTCCTAGGAGCAGCTCAGTGCGCTGTGTAGAGAAAGCCTGAGTGTTGGTTAAAGCTTTCTCAGTGAAAAGATTTTTCTGGAGCACCTAAGATTATTTCATCTCCTCCTTGGCCTTGCTTCCTGGAAAGCCCAGTGCCTGAGCCTTTCAGACAGTCTCCAGCCTTGTTTTCCCCAGCCACTCTTCATTCCCTGGCTCCAGCCTGACTTCATGGCCCAGTCTTGGCTCGGACTCACAACCCAACCCTTGCTCCCTCCGTACCCTGCCCCAGTCCATTCTCTTCCTTCTGGGGTCTGCATGAGGGCAGACTATACATTGGACTATAGAAGGTTTGCTGAAGCAGGGCTCCTCTCTGTCAGATCTTAGCAGCTCTGCCAGTGGTCAAAAGAGCCTGCATGAGAGTAATGGGAGCCTCCCTCTCTTCCTGGCTGCCTCTTTGAATCCCTGAGCTCCTCACCCTGGTTCAATACTCCCCTATAGGCCCCTCCAACTCCTGGCAGTTGCAGAATGCAGGTAAGCACTTGACATAAAAAAACCTTTAGGGTGGGATTTTCAAAAGGCCAACGCTGAGTGCTTTTGAGAGTGCCACGCTCAATCGTGAAGAGGGGGATAAAATTCCAGAATGACAAAAGATGCATTAAAAATGTTTCATGCCATTTCTGTGAAAATTATCCCATCCTTGAATGTGTAGAGAGACCTACATACAAGGGTGAAATTGAGAGTAATGTTCCTTATGCTGAAATTAAGGCGACCCAACTGAATACCATATGAAAGCGTTGTTTGCTAGTTTCAAAATTCTTAGGTTACAAGAACTTTCTTATTTTAACCACATCCTCTCAGATAAGTCACTTTCTCCAGTAGAAGTCTGGAAGCAATCTTTGCTACGGAATAGTTACTCTGACCCCACAATAACAGCCTGGTTTGTAATGGCTGGAGATCGCTTTGAACCTCAGCATGTCATTCTTGCAATGACAGCATCTTGTCAGTAGATGGAGCCATTTCAGCTCTAAAGTTAGACTAGAATACGGAGGAGTGGGAAAGTAGTCGCCATCGGATACTGCAGCTGCAAGATCTCAAGCCCCGGGGTGATACCAGTAGTTCTGACTTTGCTATATTTCATAGTAAGGAAATGCTGCAGGGACCACACAGCAGCACTTTCCCAACACTCAGGAGAAAAAGAGAATTTTCTCTTGCTTTCCAGAAATATGCACTAACAATAAGCACAAAAAGTTTCAGTCCAAAAGACAGGAGTCTGGGTAGGTCTTCATGTCAAGGGGCTTATAATGGGAGTGCCTCCTCAGTCAGGGCTGTCGCATCAACCCTTACCATGCTACCCTGCGCCCAGTCCTGCAGCTTTTGCTCATGCAAGCAGTCTCAGTTGGGCCGGCGTAACTCCAGTGAAGCCAATAGAGTTACACTGGTGTAAAACCAGTGAGAGGACCAGAAGAATCAGGCCCATTCATTGTAACCCTTCCAAACAGTCAGTTTTGCCATGTGTGAAAGGGGGACGATGATAGCACTTTGAGACCTACTGGGAAAAAGCACTGTAGAAAAGTGGCGAATTTTTATTTCTGCAGAGCTCACAAGACTCCACATGCTTCCGGCCTCCTTTGAGGCTCTCAGCAGCAGTTTCCTCACACAATCGTCTGCTACACTAACCAACACTAGTGGAGTGGAAATAGAGACACAAGGACAGCTGGTGCCAACTCCTCTTTCTTACCACTCAGCAAGAAAAGGTAAAGGGAAGAAAAAAACCCCAAAGGAAACTAAAAATTGACTTTAGGAAGGTTCTTACCTTGCTCATGTGCTTCACTGGTGCCTCTTGTGCGAAGCTCCGGCTTCTGTTGTGCAGGGTGACTGTTCTCATGGCACTGGGACACGAATTTCTGCAGTTCCTCAAACACCTTGAGAACAAGAAACACACACACAGTTACCGCATTACCTGAAATGCTGTCTTCTCTCCTCCCTGAGCCCCTTCTTACTGCATAAGAGATTTTGGGAACTAGAGAAAGACATCTGGCCCAGCCACTGATCCTGTGTGTCCTTCCTTCTCCAGAAAGGAGTCTACCTAAGGGTCTCTCTTGAACTCCTCTATACTCCTTGCTTGTTTAATAGTATGAAGTGTGTGAAATGCTTTCCCAGGGCAATTCAATAGGAAGCTGTGCTCCAATGCTCATCCTCCAGATCAGAGGGGAAGCAGAGTGTGTGTTCTCATAGAAGAGTTGTAGAGGAGGGAGGGGATATGTGGAAATACTAGGATAAAGGGATATGTGGACTCTGATTCCTGCCCCCAAATAAACACTCATGTTCGAACAAGAGCAGCAAAGGAAGAGCCTGCATTCAAATCCTGGATAGGATCCATTGCCCAAAGGAAAAAAGTTTTCTAGTATCCAGTCTCTTAGGAGGCTCATAAAAGCAACTTTCACACAGGACAAGTTCAGTACAGCTCTCACTACTCCTGCCAGCCCGCAGCTTCCCTTCAGTTCATCAGTACAAATGCCACCTCGCCTATGTGGAGATAGCAGCTGTACCTTAGGTGGGAGAGGCAGTGGGGAATGTGGGCTAGTTCCTCACCTGTATATTCAGCAAGAATGCCCTCTTGGCTTCCTCCAAGATTCTCTTCTTGGTGGCTGGGTCCATCTCGATGGAGTTCATCCGGGAGCGGTACAGCTGCTTGAACTTTGTGGCATTGGACACCCCTTCAAAGGTGAAGAACTCCAGTCCTTCTCCAGTACTGGATAGGTGGAGAGCTTTCTGGGCAATCTTCTTTAACACCTGCCCACCAGATAGGTCTCCCAAGTACCGAGTGTAGGCATGGGCCACCAGGAGCTCTGGTTCATGCTGGCCCACATAGTGGAGCCTATTCACATATTTCTGAGTGGACTCGGGACACGAGATCTCTTCCCTCCATAGTGGGCCGTAGAAATACTCCAAGTCTTCCTGAAGGGCAGTCTTACGGTGCAGTTCAGCTGGGAAGTAAACGGGGATATAGGCTGGGTGATCCTTGTTACGCTCAATCTCCTCCTCCAGAGCAGAGTAGATGTAGTACAGAGAAGCCATAACCATCTGCAGTAAAAGGGAAGGAATAAGTCAGCGACAGGGTCTCTCGCCTTCCAGCTTCATGTGCACTTCACGTTAATACAACATATCTGCATATATACACTGTGTATGTGTCACTGGTTATTGGGTCGTACCATATCCCCAACTTCACCTTCACCAAGACAGACCTTGGGATCATAGAAATTAGAGTGTGAAGAATCCTATTAGGTCACATCTAGTCTATTCCCCCATACACCGCTCCCCATACAAGGATGATTTCCAAAAGGTACATTCTCCAGTGCACTGTTCAGTTCTGACTGTCTCAAGAGATTGGGGAACTTATCCCTTTCCTAGGCCCTGACAGACTGTTACACAACCTTTTTACTTTATGATCTGTTCATCTAAAGGGCAGACCTCTGCTCAGACACCACAGATGTTGGAACCGCAGCCCCTATCCCTTCATTAAGGTCAGTAAGTAGGGTGGCTACTTTCCTTTCACTTTGGTTGCCTCAAGGAGACCAGATAGGAACATCTTTTCAGAGACATTCAGCTAGTAATCCTCAAAAAACACCCACCCACCGTGGCAGCCAAGGTCACTCCTGGCATAAAAGAGGACAGGAAGCACATTCCATCTCTGAAAAGGGACTTTGTGAAAAGATCATTGGGAGGTTGTGTGTTTGTTGTGTCTCTATTGCCAATTCACATTTTCTCCTCTTACAAGATGCTTTTTCTAACTGCCAGCCCTTCAAACTGGGGCTTGACAGTTAAACTGGGCTCTTTCCTTCTTGTGCATCATCACCAGAAGATCCTGCTGCTCAAATGTTGCTTTCGTTAACACATGTACAGTCCCATTGTCTTTTCAGTCAGGGTGCTCAGGGGTAACTAAGGGCAGAATCTGAAGGCAATGTGATACAGATGGCTCAGGCTTGGTTAAAAATTCTGCTGCGGATACAAAAACCAGAAAAGAAACCAGTTCACTCTCCCTGATCTGTGTTGTTTCTACAGGGCTGACAGCAGCAAAAAGTAATCACTCCTACATTTCCCACTACAGTCAGCAGCTATTTCTACATAGTCATGTTTCAGAAGAGATCTGTATATTACAGGGAAGTTAGCAACAGAAATAAAAAGGATTTTAAACACTGACCCCGTTAGCCAAATCCTTGGAAACGTCTGGTAACAGCCAAAGGAAGCTTGGTTACAAAATAGAGGAAAATTGCATGGCAAGTTAAGAAAACTTAACTAGAATAGTTGATATTTTCAAAGCTAACTAGAGGCTTTAGTGGAAGTTGTGTGGCTAAATCCCCCAGTTGATTTTGAAAATCGCAGCGAGTCGGCATTACCTTTTGGAGCCCATAGTTACTTCTGACTCTCCCTGACAACAGATCACTATCCTCTCAGAAACTGACCTGAATCCCTTGGTCTCTGAGGAATGACTTGTGGGGGGCGGGGGTGGAAAGTGTTACTGTTACCCCCCTTTGAAGTTCATTGCCTAGGTAATGCCACGTCCCCATTTGCAGGAGTTTGGCACTGTAGTTACTTTCAGAAATTGGTGGATGATTGAGTCATGCTAGATCAAATCAACACCTGTGGCATGACAATCCATGTGTCACATCCTCAAGGCTCTCCGGAATTTCTAGCTCACTTGGCTTTCCTGTTTTTCCTTATGGCTTTGTTTATTATGTGATTCAGCTGTTGGGAACCCCATTATCTCTCCAGGGTTAACTTACGCCTAGATATTGTATGATCATAGAAATCGCAGAGTTATGTATAACTGGTCCTGCTCAAGCTGAGCAAAAAGGGCTCCATAAGGTAATTAGCATTTATTCATTCATTCACTCAACTGGAGCAATGATTAGCTCTTGCATATTTGTGAATGACACTGTTTGCTCAAATCCATTAACTGTATGGTCGTGTCCTCAGGTCCAGTGCAAAACCAAGTTATAATTCTAATATTACAGAGGAAACAACTAGGAACCTTCAGGACCAGAGACTATTCTACAGCCTGGCAGACCTCACTTTTAGGAAATGACTTCCAATATCAAGACTGAATTTTCCTTGTCTCTTTCCTGCTGTTACTTCCATGTATACCCACTTAGATCATTCTAAATAATTTGTCACCCTCCTTGGTGGCTTTAAACCCTTCATATGCTTGTACACAATTATATCTCCATCAATCATCATTTGACTATAATCAAACACATGGGCATTTAATTGCTTTAATCTTTCCTCACAAATCAATTTCTTCAGCCCTTTCTTGTAGCCTCAGCAAAGCAAGGCACACCCCCACTAAGCGTAGCTTCGGTACCCAACCAGAAATACACAGCTCTGCGTCACATTCTGCAACAGGAGTTTGCAAGACATTGAGAGAGCCCTGAAGTTACCTGGGGCCAGATGCTGGCGTGATGAGTGACACAATGATGCCACGTTGTCATGACCCAAAGATTTTCCCGTTCAGGAGCCCTGGCTTGGCTGTTCTGAATTAGACACGAGAGGTTCCCTAGAGCCCAGTTTTCCCCATCCACTCCAGCAGCGCTGCAGGGTTACCTTAAACTCCTGGAGTGACACCTGCCCCCTCTGGAAATTCTTCATGAACTCTGTGCTCTCTGCCTGCTCATGCACCTCTTTGGTGGCTTCCTTCAGGGCTTCTGATAAGTCTCCAGGCATGCTGGGAAAGCGGAGGGAAAAAGCCCATCAGTGTCAGAAACATCTCACCACCCCCTCCAAAACAAAAGCTAGCTCTTTCCCAACAAGTGGGGTGGGGAGAAAAAGCATCCCAGGGTGGGAGTGGAAAGAGAAGGAACATCAGCATCCCAAATTCTGCCAGGAGAGGGGGAAGAGATTGTCAGTAGAAAGGAGGAGAAAGGGAAAAGGATCCTCCCATTCCCAGTAGAGTAGAGGTGGAGAGCAGCAATCCGAATCCCAACCCAAAGAGTGAGGTGGGGAGAAATGCCATTCCTTTCTATGATAATTTCCCTTGGATTCTAGCCCCACTCTCACCTTTCAGAGCTGTGTGTCTTGGAACCTTCCATTTCTCTTTTCTTTTCTTTTCTTCCTTCGCTTTTTCACTCTTCTGTTGTCTTCTTCTCTCCTGTCCCCCTTTGTCCTCTCTTCTCTCAGGGCTCTGGGAAGCTTTGGAATTAAGCAGCCCTTCTGCATCCTGCTTTATACTTGGCTCAGATCACGTGAGCAACCAAACAGCTGACCCTGGTGTAATTGTTGCAACATACACACTTTCCTCCAGGGAAGGGAGGAGTCTCCTGACCTCTCTTGACAATGAAGCTCAAAAACAGGATGTTGAAAGATGTCTCCTTACAGAATGCTGGGCAGTTTGCCCAGGCTCATTAACCCTTTTTCTGCCCAGCTGGTAGCACCGAGAACTAAGACGCTCCAGTGTGAATGCTTGGGAGGATTCACTAATGCTTAAGGGGTTCACACTGGGAAATTAATTCAGATTAAAGCAGGGTGTGAATTTAAAGTGCAATCTCTAGTCCTGATCAACTCCCTTTGTGGAGACTGATTCCAGAATAAGGGTGACTTTTTCCGAATTAGTTTAATCCATTTTTGTAAGTGGATTAACTAATTCAGAATAAGGCACTCTAATTCCCTGTGTGGATGCTCATATTCTGCAATAAATCAGGACTAGCTATATCAGAATAACTCCCCGTGTAGACAAGCCCTCAGAGTCTATCTGTACATGTCCTCCCTTTCAGATAACATGAATGGAAATGATGGTTGGCAGCTTCAAGGGTACTAAGTTCCCACACAGTAACTGCTTGGTACATGGCACAGAGAAGGTACATGCTAAAGACCCAAACAAGGGCATGCGCAAGAATAAAAATGTGACTGCCTTTGGAGGGGCATGTTCTGTTGCTTGCTTGCTCTCCCCAGCGCGGCCACGGGGCCGGAGGAGCTCTGTGCCCCACCATTTATTGTGCACATCCCTGGACCTAAAGGATGGTGAACTATACCTGGGTTAGGGGAAATTCTGGTGGAGGTCTGCAGAGACCTTGAAATACAAACAGTTCATCTAACCTGGGTCTAGGAGCAAAAGAGAACCGGATTGTCTAGAGACTGGTCTCCTGGCAGTAGTTGCTGGCACCTGCCCCTTTGCGGTTGTAACTGGTGAATAATTAGGAACTCATGGGGCCAAAATGGAGTTCTCATCAGGCTTTAGGTGGGTTAGAAGCTCAGCCTGCTAGTGTGGAGCTGGATGTGGAAAATGCATCGATTGGCTTTCATTTTGGCAAACAGAACATTCTCCTTCAACCAGAAAACAGGGCAGGGTACAGTTAAAAAAGGGACCAAGGTCCTGGTGAGGGCACTGTGGTGTGAGCCTCTCACCCCAGACCTTTGGCCACACCTTATAACACTGACTGGGGACCGTGCCAGTACTAGGATATAGAAGCCAGCTGGCAGGATTTGTTGTTTTCGCCTCAGTCAGACATTTGCAGTTAGGAGGCTGAGTGTTCAGGAAAGATTACACAGCACTTCTGCAGCTGACTCATCTGGGCTCCCTGCCTTCCCTTTTTCTCTTAAAGCAATGGGAACACTCAAGAACATTTCTGCATAGTCTCTAGTTCCCTTCCTCCCTCACACCGTACATGTCATTACACTTGGGGTGCTGCTATTCTTCTGCATTTATCCTGCAGGATAAAATAACTGTCTCACATCTGAGTTGTGAAATCATGTTGCATCCTCATATCATGACTTGACATCATGAGGCCTAAAATATGCTTGTGACATAGGGGTCCTGAAGGGCGACCGCTACTATGCAGGTCTGCATATACAGGATCCTTCTTCAGAGATCCACCTCGTGGAGGATGGAAAGGTGGTGTCCTTAAAATGACCATTTCTCTCTCACATTGTCCTCAGGGTCATGTGGAACTTTCAGGTCTCTTCAAAGAGTCCTGATAAGAGATAGAGGATGCAAGAAATCAGACCTCTAGCTCTGGCGGAGGGGGAGGTTTGTTTGTGATGAAAGAGCCCCTTCCTTCCAGGAGCACCTCCACCCCAGAAGTTACATGCTTGTGTTACATGTCTGTGGATATCTAAAGAGATGATGTACAACAGGGAGGGAACAATCAGGATATTTGGGGAACTATCTGAAAATTACGTAGGCCCAGTCTTTGCAGTGGCAGGACTTGGACATCGCTGAGCTCCACTGCTGTTGGGAGAGAGGTTTGGTCACCTCTGCCATGCTGCCAACATGACATGTTGTGGAAGGGGACAAGGGCGTTGAGCGTGCCAGTGAGTTGGCACAGATTTGAGAATGGCTCCTCTCTTCCTATTCTGAGTTCAACATCCAAAAAGGGCAGGGGCACAGGAGGAAGCAATTCCAATGCCCGGACACTGAAGCTTGAAAAATACAAACAGGAAATGAGATGCACTTTTTTAAACACTAAGGATTAATTGACCATTGGAACAACGTAGCAAGAGACGTAGTGGATTCTCCGTCATTTGAAATCTTTCCATCGGGATGGAGTCTCTTTCTAAGAGAGATGCTTTTGCTCCATTTGTGAGTTATTGTGGTTGATACAGGGATCACTTGGTAAAATTCTATGGCCTGGTAGAAAGTCAGACTAGATGCTCACAATGATTGCTTTTGATCTTAAAAATCTATGAATCCTAGTGGATGAGCAAATTACACCAAGAAGTCAGATGGTTTAGCAGTTGATAAAGAATTACTGACCAGTAAATGGGATGGAGAAGGAGAACTTAAGGAGCATTTGGCCTTGTATAGGATTGACAGCAAATTCTGCAAGTAGAAGTTATGTTTCCAGTTAGAGCACGTGAAATCACACATCCTAAGAAGTTTCACTTCTCTGTGAGATGTGCTGTCCCTGCTGGGGCAGCAGTGAGTAATGCCGGAGGCTGGGCTCAGAAGAGAACACGGTCCTCAGGAGAAGTTACTGTTGCCATGTAAACAAGGGATTAGTAGTGTTTGCCAGGCCGTGACACAGCAGAATGCAGCCTGGTGGTAGCCTGTAGTGTAACAGAAAGCAGTTAATATTCAGTTTAAAAGATTTAATGGAGATGACAGGAGCTTTATGGAGCCTAAAACCTTCCCCAGCAAAATAGGAACGTGACCCATCTGGAGACCAGGGTTATAGCCACCCCACACCTTAGCTGGCAATTACCAGGGTGAGATAATTTTATTCACGTGGATTCACTGACGTTTACCAAGGGCAGGATGGCCAAACCTACGATCAGTACAGGTATGGTGCAGGTGTAGGCAGTCTGACAAGCCTAGATCAAATGTAAAGTCTGAAATCACAGGTCAGAAGTCAGAGTGCATAGTACTGAAGAAAAAGGGCTGGGCGGAGACGGGCATGTGCCCACAGTATGGCTGAATTCCTGTGATGCACCCTGCTAAGGTGAGGGGTGCACATGCAGTACAGCTCAATTCCTACAGAAGCATACCTCTAAGGTGAGGGGTGCGCACACACTGCGGCTGAATTCTTAGGTTATATACTTCAAGAGTAACGGATTCACACAGTACAGAGGAACTCCAAGGACAAATGCTCCAAACAAGATGACAGCACATAGTGTAGATGAATTCCTAGGACAACTTGCTTGAAGGATGATGGAGAACATAGCACAGATGAACTCCTAAGACAAACATTCCAAAGGTGACAGAAGAACAAGGTAAAGGTGAATTCCCATGACTAATGCTCCAAGCATGACAGAAGTGCACAGTACAGGTACTTGTTCCTAATGTTCAAGAGCTCAGAGCACTGGCAGGTGTGCTGAGCACACACGTGATATGTACACATGCCAGGGGCTGTGACAAGAGTGGATAACAGAAAAACTCCCCAGGGCATATGCTCTTATGCCTCCTATAATATAGAAAGCAATGACCTCTTTAGGATATTGGTAGCGCACACAATGGGAGTCCAAAGTATCAACAAATTCTGGTGAGAGTTTGATGGGAGCACATAGTACAATTAAAGTTCTTAGGGCACGTACAGCACTGACAGGCTCTTCGGAGCACGTACTGGAGTGGGGGCAGAGGTGAAAGTAAGCTAGTACGCCCCGGTACGGCATACTGGCAAGAGCCGGTGCGCCGTACTGGGGTGGATCGGCTTCCCCAGGCGCAATTTAAAGGGCCTGCGGCTCCTTTTAAATTCCTGCCAGAGCCCTGCTGTCGGAGCCCTGGGGTAGCGGTGGCGGGGCTGGGGCGGCGATTTAAAGGACCCGGGGCGGTAGCTGCGGCCGAGCCCTGGGCCCTTTAAATCGTCCCTGGAGCCCCGCCGCCGCTGCCACCCTAGGCCCTTTAAATTGCCCCTGGAGCCTGCTGGAGCCCTGGGGAAGCAGCGGCGGGGCTCCGGGGACGATTTAAAGGGCCCAGGGCTCCGGCCGCCGCTACCACCCAGGGCCCTTTAAACCGCTGCCAGAGGCCCCGGCTGCCGCTGTTACCCCGGGGAGGGGGAAGGAGGCACTTGCCGGTACAGGGTCCCAGGCCCGCCCCTTCTGCCCGAGACCCTGCCCCTTCTGGGGGCCAGAGCCAGCCCCAGCCCAGCCCCGTACCAGTAAGTCCCCAGACTTACTTTCACCCCTGAGTGGGAGTGCACATTACTGATAAACTGTGCAGCATGCGCACTGTGCTGATCAACTACTTGGGCTGTGCATGACCTCCAGTCCCCTATACCGTCACAAATACACCTGGCCGAGGGGGGGGAGGGGGGGAGAGAGAGCAAGCAGAAACTCACATAGTCAACCCGCAGAAAATAAGATAATGATCCGATCCCGCAGCGCAAACCCTTAGCATTTAACTGTGTTGTCCCTTTGAATCAACAAGACTACTCATGTGTCTAAAGTGAAAGGTGTGTATGTTTGCAAGACTGGGGCCTAAGCATGAACAGCAGCATTTGAATACCCCATACACAAACCGGTAAATCTGTCTGGTGAGTTGTGTATCTTTCTCAGAGTAGGGGAACCTGCAGGAATTAGATTTCAAGTTCCACTTTACCAAAGCTCCCATTTTCTTCCTGCTCGAAGGGTATCTATCACTCATCTTCCCTTCCCCCTGAAGCAGTAATTAGGGGCTCCCTGGATTTAAGGCTTAGCCGTATTTCCAGATAATTCTGAGGTCTGATTGTTTCCAAAATGGGAGTGTCGCCAGCTGAAGCAGCTGCAATCTCAGGCCAGAGAACAGGAAACTGCT